GATGTCTGTTTTTGAGCTTCTCTTTTTCAAATATCCATCACTAATGTTAATCCATTCTGCAAGTGGCGGGTTACCCGCTGTTGGGTGTGTTTTTTTCTTCGGACTTCGCCGACGGTTTAGAGTTTATCAATATTAGGCTATCATTATTTAATTATGAATAAAATGTAGCCTATCTCTTCGGATTAAACTATGGCCGTATAGTTTAGGCCTACAATAATACCGGTAATTCATAACGACTAGTAATATTTAGCAATTCAGAAAAGTTTTTTTATTGTAGAGTTTTTCAGAAAATAAAATTATACTGAATCTTGAATTAAATTGAAAGTCACACCGAACCTATTAAACTAAAACCTACTTTATTTCAATGAAGGTAGAAACTTCCCATTAATAATTATTAATAATAATAATTCATGATTCATATTATATTAACTTCACACTCCTTCGATGGGTTTAATGCAATGTAACTCAACTCTGTAGGCCTACTACTCTAACATCCTAATTTTCTCGCCTCCTTCCGGAGGTGTCGTTTTCGCTATACTCATACCTCTAAACGCTCCGAGATTTCACTCAAAATGGTTTTACTCACAAAGCCGATGTTCAATTTTGCTTAAATTTATTTATGTAATACTTTATATTTTAAATACAATCTTATATTCGTTCATTTTTTTTCTGGGAACCACTTGATAGTATATCAAGTATGTTCACTTTTTGGTTTCCTTTCTCCTCTGTTGTTCTCCCGTCATTTTTAATTATACTTGTATATTTTCGTATTGTTGAGAGAAATAAATGAAATGAAAATGCGCGACCTGGGGCGGTACAGTTCAATGGACCAGTTGGCGTTTGCATGGACAACAGGAAAGTCCCGGGTTTGAATCCAATTTTGGGAAACATTTTTTACACTTGCGGATTCTCTTCTAAAGCGTACCGTATTTTTGAGTATACGGTATCTCACATGCATTACAATTATACAATAATAATACACATCAAAATGTAGTCAATTCAAAAAGAAAAAAATAGACAAAAATTAAAAAAAAAACAAAACATTGTTTATTTTCAATTGGGATAACAATATTAAAGAAGAAAAAGCCGGTATTAGATTATCGACATTTAGTAGGTCTATCGCCACCATCACTACCATCATCATCATCATCATCACCGTCATCATCATGTCAATCATCGTCACAACACCATAGACCTAATCATCTCCATCATTATCATCACAATCAGGGGCGACCCCCCCCCCATCCCCCTTATAGCCTGGTTCACGTCGAACTTTATCTAGATATACCCGTCTTGAAACATGATACGATAATCCCCTAATTGCGTTCGATGCCAAGTTAGAGCCAGATAAACAGCCAGCCAGTTTCAGGCCGACGACGTCACACGGTCGAAAGGCTTGTTTAATAAAACATCTACTGTATTTTACGAACCTCTAGTACCAAGTGGTATTCGTTCAAAAAAAAATTCACTTTTTTTTTTTGAGATAATTTAATGGATACTCAATTCCATAGAAAGGTTGATTCATGTCATATCGCGCAATGCATAGCTACAAAGAAAGTTTAATCGCAGATGCACCAGCATGGAAACTTTCGTGCTATCAATCACTCTCTATCGAGGTCAGCAGGTATGTGCTGTCAGACAACCCCATGCACAGTGACCACAGTACACTGATATGTGTGCACATCTCCATTGACGACACCCCTTCAGTTGACCTACTCTTTTAATAAAGTATAGTTTTTGTGTAGACAACATTTGACACTTTTGACGTGTAGGTTTCACTTCCTTATTGTTTTCAAGTACCTGGTTTAATCATCATTGGTTAATTTACAAGATAGGCCCTATACTGTATGACATTGTATAATCCTGTTGTCTCTAATTGACATGAAACTGGCAATTAAATAGGCCTACCTAAACCTAGGGCCTAGGCCTAATTCCAGTGGCGGATTTCCAGTGGGGGTGGTGTAAGGGGCGTCCGCCCCCACCTATTTTTTGCAAAAAAAAAAGGGGAAAAAAGAAAAAAATTCCTTCGTTTTCTACCAAAAACACGCTAGGAGAGTGCTATAAAATCCACTTGGTGGTGAGAAATAGAACACTTGTAATTTACTCAATGTTAATATACGGTATCGGATTTTGTTGTTTGACGACTTTTTTTAACTGATTTTGGATATTAGTTTTCCTTTTTGCTGATTTTGTGATTTTTATGCTCGATGTTGCTGAAAAACTTCATCATGTTTTCTAGAAGTGAAATTTCTCTTTTGAAATTGTGTACATTTATAATGAGCCTTTGCATGTTGTCAAATTAGGCCCTATGTTTGAGATGTTCGTTTTTTTTTTGTTTTTTTTAATTTATTTATTTGTTACTGAAAACTACCATGCTAGATAGTCAAAATCGACTCAATTCCTGCTGGATTCGCCCCTGACAATCATCATCGTAACAATACAATGACGGTTTAATTTGCATAGGCCTATTTAGTCTATTCTTTTGATATAATGTTTACAATCTTAAAAATAAACAATCAAAATCGTCAATCAAAACATAAAATATAAAGGGCACAAAGTTTTAAAAACCCGTAGACATTCAACCTACAGAGGGGTAAATCCGGTCACCTAGATTTTAAGACCGGAAAGTTGAACTAGTTACTCATGGCGGATTAATATTTCTTAGCCGAAAGGAAGTTCATCGGCCATACCAGCCATCTTGAATGGGAGGCATGTCAAAATAGAGAAATCAGAACAGACTTGTGATTATTTTGCTGTGTTTTCAAATTAAATTCTGATGCTTTTTTATATTGATGAGGAGGATAAGAACTTTAGAGATAACTGCGTATCACTTTCATCTCGATGGCATAGATACATTGATAAAACATATATTTTGCATCCAATTTAGTTAGTAATTTTGATACCACGATTTGGTTGTTCACGAAACATCTTGAGATAGTAAGTTGAACCTAGAACTTGTTTTTATGTCTGTTACTACTAATAATAATATTCTTATTAATTCTTGTTAATACGCAAAAATAAAAAGAAAGATTTATTTAAATTATTGTTTTGCTATTAATTAGCCTGTACTGAATAGTATTGCATTTAATAGTCGGGTACTCGCCGGGGGAACTCGCATATTGTCGGTGGTGGCCCACCATTATAAGCAGCTAGAGTAGGCTAGGCCTAGGCTAGTCTGGGCCTAGGCCTAAGCCGGCCTTGGAGAGAAACCTTCGCTAAGGTCTAGGCCCTGGCCTATCTACGAGCGAGCAGGCCTACACAATATCTATACAGTATAGTCAAAGGCCATATATGTAGACTAGGAGACGACTTTTGTTTGGCAGCAGGTGGAAACGCTGCCTCTGCCCATGTTATGGTGCAGCAAATTGGGTATTTCTGTGTATTTTTATTTTTTTGTGCACCAATTTTATTATCTTCACCGATGATGTACTGACACATCGAAAGATCGCCTTATTAATATTTAAATGTTAGGAATCGGAAGGCATGCATGAAAAAATTAGATTTTCAACATTTCGGGGCTAAAAAGGTGCACTTCATCACACTCTCCACCATAACTGTAAAGTATTTTAATTGCGCAGATAGCCTATACATCAAATTTGCGCAGAAAATTGCAAAGGAAAAAAGGTACGCAATATCTTAACTACAGGTACTGCAACATTGGTTGTACTGTATATTAAGATTAGGTCAAGGCCTAATTTTCAGCAAAGTTTGCGCAGAAATCAGCCCTTATTTTCGGAATTGCGGACAGATTTTTATACCTACCGGTAATTTTTGTGCGGAGGATATATTCCCCGCTTAGGTTTTATTTTATAGTCTGGCACTCTCCCGAATTTTGAGTTTCAGAGATTTTATATCTGCCTAGCCTAATGTTGGTAAAACTTGTAGGATAATCTGCCTTGTAGGCTAGTCCAAGTTCCTGCAGCCATCCTTAAGAGAAAAATATGTTTTTTGTATGTTGTATTACCGTAATTGCATTTTCATAACAAGTCTGAAAAAAAAAGTGAGTATGCACACAGCTGGCCTTAATAATAGCGAGCTTCCTGACGTTATTACAAACCGCAATGGTGCCAGATCTAGCCTACAGTACAGTGAAATCTGTTTCTCGGACCATGAAAATCTATTGCGATTGAAGCCTTAATTTTCAGTTGTCAGGTGTGGATTTAAAACTGTTTAATATTAGACTTGAGCGATTTTTTACCAGCATGCCAAGGGTTATACATAGTAGGTCACAGCAGGGGTAGGCTTAGAAATTGGTCAGAGGGCCAAAGTCAGTTTTTGATTAAACACCGAGGGCCACACGCTAACTCTGATGTTTCCAGTGTGCTTCCAAAAACCTTCAAGTTTTGCTTTTACACCAATTTATTCTCAGTTTTAATATTACTTTTTACAGATGATCGGTGTCGAGCTGTAAAAAACAAGGCATTTTGTAGCCAATGTTGCTGGTCGGGCCACACACATGGGTTTTTAATTCATTTTCGCGGGCCGCACTTCGTCCATCTGCGGGTTACGGTGTCAAGGGTTACCAGTATGTGATGTACAACATCATTACTGTAGTGTGTTTCATGACAACCAACATTGTTTCCATTGATTGGGTCATTTCTGTATCTTTCACCATTCCTTTTGTGTTTGGTTGTTTTTTTTTAATTTTCACAATACTACTATACAGTACTCTAGACTGTGCTATAGGCCATTGTTATTGACATCTCAAGAAAATGCTGTCAGAATGCAAAAGCTTAGATTTTCATCAACATTTCAGTGTAAGGAGCCAATCTTCACCAGTCTACGGTATTGTCTTCAGGGCTGTAAAAAGTTGGTGGTCCTGTGTACTGCGGGACTTAAGTATTTTAGGGCTGGGCTAGCAAAAAATACATTAAAACTAGACTAATATTCAAAAGCTGATATATAAGCGCTAACAATTATTTTGGCAAAACTAGACCTTGGTCCAGCAAAAAAAAAAAAAAAACAATTTTACGACTCTGGTCTTTAGCCAGCCTGGTATTCTACAGAATAAATTATACAAAAATGTTTCTTTAAAATATAATTTTATACACTTTATTTATGTTTTTCCATATGGAATTACCAAAAGACTACTGTAGGATTCAGGAACTCTAATACTTGAGGTTTTATATCCTACAGGATTTAGAATGAGAACAAAATGAAATAAATGTTGGATACAATAGTCCAGGAACAAAGAAACTTTTAACAGCAAAGGTTACTGACTCCAAAAATTCCAGTTGACTAATTTGTTTGTTTATATTTCGTCATACAGTAAGCATGATTGTCATAAGATGATAAGAGGATTCAAGAGAAATCTATGCTGACAAATCTTATTAATTATTCATAAACGTTAAAACATTAACTTTCAACATACAGTACTGTATGTCCTTTTCATGATTTCAAAATGATGATGATAAAATACCAGTACTGCTAGTGCTTTTTTATCATTAAAGTCAGGCACACACACACACACAGAATGAAGCAAATTATTAGAATATTTATAATATTGATTGTTTATATATTAATAACAATGACATTAAATAATTAGTACCGGTAAATAAACTAACAATTATCATTATGATGCTCTTTATGGTCATGATGGTTAAAGTACTTGTAATGTTAACATGTGATGACAAATTATACTAAATAATAATAACTTAAACAAAAAAATATAATTTTAATTTACCTACTATATGTATGATGATGATGATATAATCATAATTTATTAAATCATAATAAAATATGTGTGAATTAATTAATTTAACACAAACATTGTGGATACAATGAAATTAGGCTATTACGACAAGATTAATATTCATTAAAAAATTAAGCAGCATATTGTAAGCAATGTAGAGTACTGTAGGATCAACCATGGCTTTTAGTTTAAAATAAGGAGCCTACAGTGTAGATCACTTTCATAGAGATCTATAAATTCACCATTATTATTATTATTATACAAAGATTTATCAATTACTGCTGTAAACTATATTTTTAGCATTGAATTTAGAGATCTATAAGTACACCATTAGGCCTAAAAAAAAATATTATGTTGGCGTAACCCGACCGACCCTAAAAAATCAGCCGACCCTAGACGTTTTTATGTAAATTTCGCAATACAAGTTTACGTGGGCGTGGTCGGGCGTCACTCAAAATGTTTCAAAAGTGGTCCAAAGGCGAAAAAATATAACAATTAGAGGGCTTTAAAGGCTAATTTAATTGATTTTATAGATTTAAAGGCCTTTGCTGAATATTGTGGCAGTTTAAAAAAAAATGCCTTGCTACTATTTAAGCCCATTACGCCAACATAACATTTTTTTAGGCCTTATTTATCAATAACCTGTGAACTATATTTTTAAATTTTAGCTTGAGACTTTTTGTAATAGAATTGTCAACCCTGACATAAGCAGCTTTATAAAAGAAGATGCTTAATACTACAGTACTGTTTAACAAAAATAGATAAATTTAACTATTTAAAATAATTAAAACTCTGTTTTATAATACTGAATTTTTATTAAAAATTATGCAGATTAATGCAAGTGGCACTTTTCAAAACAAAAGTTGCACAATAACATGCTGAAAGTATAATCTGCAGTAAGTGAAATAAACACTGGTAGATTATTATTATTGATAAAGTAAACCAGTTGGAAAAAATTAAAGGTGACTTCACGTAAATCTAAGAGACCCCTTAATTAATGATCTTGAATCTGAATTAATGAGAGGTCTTGTGGCTTAATAGCTTGGGTGTTCGATTAGCTCCAAAGGAGTGAAGTTGCATGTAGGCTATTGTTTTTACCTGTGTTTCCATTCATGTTGTCGCCACAGTGTAAACGGAGCATTTCTAGTCTTTCCTTGGCCGTTGCCAAATGCCACTAGGTGAGCAGAAAAGCAGGCACGGTATGCCGAACCATAATACTACATAGTCTTTTGCTAGATTAGCGACTTGATTTTTTTTTGCCTCATACTTAGTTCACCATTTTACTGCATCATGTATGCTGTTATTATTATTATGAAAGGGATCCTCTCCATCCAGCTATTTTTCATTGTTATCTTGGTCATGGCCTTTGTGTTTTGCTTCATCTGTGCACGTTTACCTTAACTAAGTAAACATTAATAATTATAATTGGACTCTTTACGTGATGTACTGTAGACTACATAATTCCACTGCGCCAAACCGCCTGTAGTATGTTCACCAAGTTATTGCGCGTAAATTTGAAGAATCTATTTGTGATTTTAGACATTTTATAAAATAAAACCCTGATTCCCTACTGGCTTTTAGATTCATCACAGAAGTCCTTTGTGTCTATTGCATACAATACTGTAGCTTGTAATGTAGGTGTGAATGTCCAGGTTTATGGTTGTTTTTCATTCTTGGTCAGATTCCTTTTAAATGTACGGTGTAGGAACTAGCCCTGCTATTGCTACCTACAGGGCCTTTTTTGATTTGAGAAGGTGGGGGGGGGGGAAGTGTGAAGGTGCATATTACTGACCTAGTCCTGTATTTAGGTAGTTGTAGTACAATATGCAGGAGGTCTTCAGAATCCAGCTGTGATTAGAGATATTGCTACTGTATCTAACCTGTCTATATTAGCACATGTACTGTACTGTACTGTACTATAGCTACAGATACCCTAACCTTTTAATGCTTGTGTCAGAAGTGTTATCATTTAGAAAAGCTATCCATTAGTAGAACTCTTAACAAAATAAGCTGTTGGCTGACTTCCCTTTCTAAAGAATCTCAGGAAATCATAAGATTTAAGTGGTTGTGTGAGTGCAGTAGTGAAAGTCTAGCGATCTTTTTCTCAAATAGGATGTGAATTAGATAGCACTTTGAAATAATATCACATGCACGGTTACACATTATAATTTTGTGACCGGTACTGGCAAAACCCTTCATTTGTCGCAATTTCTAATTTCCCGCAAGCACCCAAAATGTTAGAGAA